TTACAGTAATATGTAAAATGCTCATTCAGCGCTTAAAAAAGGAGGAAAAATTTTGATCAAAAAGCTCAAAAACTTGATAAGAAATTCGAAAGTTCTCACAATTTCAGTTTGGGTGAATATTTTTGATGATTCCTGGGGGATTGATGTGCACGAAGTATGATCTATAACTAAAAAGCTTCAAAATATGAAAGCTCCACAGCGGCGCCGGTGGTGTAGTGTTAAGCGTGATTGCCTCTCACCCCAGCAGGCCTGGGTTCAATCCCAGTCGGCACCGCTGGGATGTTCTGAGGCATAACATCCTGCCTTCGGAAGGGAAGTAAAGCCGTTGGTCCCCGGTTCATGAGTTGTGATGGGTCGATAGGTAAGGTCCAGGTGTGAAACATGAATTTCTGTCTGTCTGTCTGTCTGTCTATCTGTCTGTCTGACCCTTATAGACCCGGAAAGTACTGAACCCATCGGCGTGAAAAATTTTTATGCAGAGGTTTTTGGGGCAGGGAAAAGTTCTTATGGTGGTTCAAGACCCCTCCCCCTCTGTAAAAGGGGGGCTCCCATACAAATGAAACAGAAATTACTGCATAAATCGAGAACTAATCAAGCAAATGGAACCAAATTTGGTATGTGCAGGTCATAGGGGGTAGCCCCTTAGATAAGAGGAGGGGGGGGGACTGCGTACAATATAGCATCCTTTTTGTTAATTGGCGCATAAACTCAAGCTAATATTGAATCCCGAGCAACACTCAGCTATTATATATATATGTAAGAAGGTAGGGTTTAGAGTTGAGAGAATAACGAAAAAGTAACTTTATGAATTGATTAAATCTTACAATGCACACACGCGAGGCACTTCGTGCTACGGTTTGGTAATAACTGTTTTTTTTTCACAAGTTTGGCCGAGGGGCTACCCGATCGTCCCACACAGCCTTTCCTGGCACTACTTCCGACCCGGAAGTGTCCACGGCTTGAAACAATCAGCAGCAGATGATGTCTTCTTAGGCCCTTCGGTTTCGTCGTCGAATTTTCGCACTTCGTAACGATCATTGGGAAGCACATTAATGATCTTGTATGGTCAAAAAAAACTTTGGCTTCACCTTCTGACCGATACCAAACTGGGTTTTCGGTATCGCCACCATATCTCCAACTTGATACTTTGCAGCTGGCTTCCTGCGTAGGTTGTAATATTTTCGATTCTCGTCTAGCATTATCTGGATACTCCTTTGTGCCGGCTTCATCAGCTCCTCTCTTTCCTCCTCAAAGATTCCTTGCAATTCCTTTTGCAGCATTTCATGTAAAATCTGGTCCTCTTTGGTCCGCATTTTCACGCCGGTCAGCAATTGGAAGGGTGCCAGCTTTTATTCAAGCATTTCTGAACGTCAGAAACTTGCTTGAACCACTCTTCAGGTATATCTACGGACATCTTGGTAATCATTGGAATAATGATCCGATAAATTCGTTCAACTTGTCCATTGCCACGGGGCACACCAGTGGCGATCTTGTGTAACTCGATGTTCTCAGCTTCGCAGAATTTGGCAAATAATCCTGATGTGAAAGCCGCTCCTCGATCGGGTTACCGAAGGTGTCGGTAATAGCTCGTAGTTTCTTCACGGCTTCTTCAGCGGTTGTTGACGTCGTTGGAAATAGCCATACAAACTTGGAAAAGGCGTCGATGACCGCCAAGATATAGTTGTACGCGTTTCTGGTCGACGGCATCGGACCCAGATGATCGACATGAAAGGTGTCCAACGGAATATCACCCTTCGGGATTAGCTGTAACTCTCCTTTAGGTTTTCCTTTTTTCTTTTCGCCAACGATGCAGGCGACACATGTGGCAATGCAGTGCTTGATCTTCTCTTCCAGTCCTGGTATGAAATAATCCGCGTCGATCCTTTCCTTCATCTTCTTGACACCAAAATGTCTTCATTCATGAGCCGAATGGATTATCTCCACTTCCATAGACTCCGGAACGTAGATTCGCCTCGATTCGCCATCACCTTTGTACAGTGTAGTTACAGTAGACCATTACACCATTACACCAACACACGCTTCAACACTTTTAGTCCTTCTTCATTTTCGGACGGAATGATAAAATTGTCCACAAATGACATAATCGTTCCATCATTTATCAATATTTTAAATACCGTGACAACGAATCGACCGAACGCGTTACCACTGGTACATAACCCGAAAGGAGCACGAAGAAACTCGTATTGCCCGCAACTCGTTACGAAAGCGGTATATTTACGACTGTTCTCATCAACAGGGACATGAAAGTACGAATTTTTCAGGTCGAGCGTCGTGTAAACACGGACTTCCGACAACTGATCAATTTGCTCCTCTACGTTTGGCATTGGATACTTGTCACGCACAACCTTATTGTTTATCTCACGGTTCGATACAAACACGGTACGACCCGTATTTCTTCGGAACTACCACAACTGGACTCGCGTATTCACTTTTGGATGGCTGTATTACACCACTTTCAATCCATTCACCAACCTTCTTCTTCACCACTTCTTTTTCCAGCTGGGCCAACCGTCGTGGGTTTTCACAAACGACATCATTATCCTTCAAATTAATCTTTGCAGCGACCACTGAATCTTTCGGCATATAGTTCTCAACTATTTCGACAACTTCTTCACGATACTGGTACGGAACCGTTATTTCATTTTCACTGACGAACTCTTCAACGCGACGGATCCACTTGGCTTCACACAGTTCCGCTTCTTCGGGTTTCGCTGAATATTTCTTCACCCGCGCACCGTCGGGTGTGATCGATTAGTCAACACCATTCAGAAAATCCATTCCGATCAGTAGCTGCATGTCAATCGCGTCCACCGGTACAACGTAAAAATGCACATCTTCGTCTTCAATGACGGCGTTGAGAATTGTTTCCCCGCAAACAACATTCACCTCTCCGCCGTATCCACGTACTTTCATTGTCGACTTTTCCATACGTGCACCGATTCGTGACAAATCGATCCACAAATCTTTACGGACCAACGATATTTCACTCCCGGTATCGATAATCGCGGAAAATTCGCAGCCGAACAACTTCGGTCCGTCGCTCTTCTGTGGACACTCGGTCGCAACGTGGGAAACATCACCGCAATTGAAACAATGCTTCTTCACTTCAGATTTGCTGCTCTGCTTCGTCGACTCCAGCTTTGACGTTCTTTCTTCCTACCGCCGCAATCGTCCAACTTCGGCTTTTGCTCGGTTTTTTTCTGCACGGTCTCGAAGTTGAGCAATTTTTCCTTTAATTCTCCGTATAACACGGATCGATAAAACTCATCGTCCGTTATGCCATCTACGATGTATTCACACACACTTGGTTCATCGAGATCGATCGCAAGGGCAATTCGTTGCATTTCGTAAATGTAATCTCGTGTCGATTTTGTCGGCTTCTTCTTGCGGCCGGCCAACGTACGGTGGACATCGCTTGCTCGCATGAAAGGGGAAAATTCACGAATGAGGGCATCCTTCAACTTCGAGAACGATGTTAAACCACGCTGAGAAAAGAAGAATCGCCGTGCTGTGCCAACCAACTTCTTTTGGCTCATAATCATCATCTGCTCGTCGTTCCAGTAAGCCGTTTTCGACATAGCCTCGAGCTGGTTCATCCACATTCTCACGTTTTTACCCTCATCGGCTCCGAAAGTTTCGATGCTGTCTTCAACATCCCGAAACGAGTACGGCCGTTGCTCCGGCGATGTGAATCTGGTTCGCAGTTCCATTCATCTTCGTATGCGGCGTAAAGAACTTCGTTTCATCGTCTTAGCATAGAGGTAACTCTAAGACTAGTAGGTCCCGAAGAAACGTGCTCAACTTTTTGGCTCAGCTCTGGTACTATCTTCGGTCCCAAGCTAATCAATTCACCCCTCGAAACATAGGAGAAACCATGAACCCCTCATTTTATCTGTCAAACTTTCATAGCGAATCAAAACAAACATTGCGTAGTACTAGAATTTCGACTAGAATGGGGTACGTTAATCGTTTGCTTGGGACCAATAGGCTAGTCAAGTAGTGAGGCAATTTAAAATCGTTAGTTTCGTATTGATTGTTGGTCTTAGTGCTTGTCGTCGACGTCATCTGTATTTCGACCATCATCGTTTTCGCCTTCGGAATCCTCTTAATGCTGACTGCTGCTATCCTTCATCTCGTCGTTGATGACAGAGACAGCATCGACGTCTGCCTCATCGGCCTACTCTTGCTCGTTTGCAGTCATCGTCATGTCATGATTGATGATTCGCTTTGCCATAGTCTTTTTATTGCCGGCAGTCGGCAATCCTCGTTTTTCGTACTCGCGCATGATTCCGATCTTCGTGAGCATTTCACACAAATCTGCGATCTGTTCTGCCATCTTGAAACGTCCAAATTGGGTCGTTTTAATTGTGATTAATTTTATCGATAATAAATCACATCGCGTACACTGTCTCAACAACTCTCCTTCCCGGACGAGCCCCCATGTAAGAAGGATGGGTTTAGAGTTGAGAGAATAACGAAAAAGTAACTTTATTAACTGATTAAATCTTACAACGCGCACACGCGAGGCACTTCGTGCTGCGGCTTGGTAATAACTGATTTTTTCACAAGTTTGGCCGAGAGGCTACCCAATCGTTCAGTTGTGTAGAGGTAAGCGCGGTTACCTCTGCTGGGTTCAATCCCAGTCGGCACCACCGGGATGTTCTGAGGGAAGTAAAGCCGTTGGTCCCCGGTTCATGAGTTGATGGGTCGGTAGGTAGGGTCCAGGTGTGGAAGATGCCTCTCTGGCGTCGGTAGCATTGGTGCTCAACACGGAAAACAAGATCGACGGAAAACAAATCAAGAAAAAAAAAAACGCAAGACTTGCGATGAGCGGCAGTATATTATTGATTCACAATAATTGTTATCCGACGCTATGATACTCAGTTGTAGGTCTGTTGGCTTTCAAACCCACGTTTTCCATATTCAGCTTATTTTTACATGTGGTTTTGATAGCTTTCTATTGCTCTTTATACTTTTAGATAAATCCCGAAAAGGTCACACGTTTCACGAAACAAACGACGTTGTCGAAGATGGCACGGAAAGCACAAGCAAACGGAAAGGTATGAGTCCTGAAAAACTCCAATCTAATAAGATCGTTTTATCGCAAACTTGTGATACAAGTTGCATGTTGTATAATTACTGCCTTTTTTCTTTTCATTTTAGATCTGATTGTCGGTGGAATGAATGATGAAAGCTATGGAATATCAAACATGGCTGTGTCTCGGCGATTACCCTTCCAGGTCAAAACATTGTTCTTCGTGCCGTTTGCGCTACTTTGCACCGCTTTTTTGTCGACAGTATGACGCTTGTAATGAATAGGCTGCGATGAGCGAATAAATAGGGTCACTTACCCATAAGTAGTTGTTTCTTGTAATCGAGAATGTTGAATGAACGAGAATGCCTGTACGTTTAGCTAAATTATATACAATAGAAAGAATGCAGAATAACTGTTTTGTAAATAAGACAAAACTGCAAGTGCACGAAAAACACTTGTGAAACAAAAGCAAACAAGAAACATATCGTTAGGTAATCAGAATGTTATAACACAAAATTTAGGATATAATTATTCTATGCTAATGTTTTATTGTATATTGGAATTAAGAGAAAAACAAGCAGTACGAAAAAGCAAATTTATCATGCTATCAAAGACTTATGGAGGCTATAATACTCATAACTGTTAAGGCTTAGAATAAGAACAGTAGGGAAATATCCCACAAAGTGCAAAAGTGAGCGGCTTGTCAATGTACATGTAATGATTATCCAACCAAAATTGATCAATAAGAGACGTGAGAAATAACAATAAAAGTGTGGTTTTATTTAAGAATACCAAGTATAAGGGAACAGACAATGACTTGGAAACCTACTCCTAAGGAGTTTCTAATAACTCAGACTAAGAAATAGGCATACCAACAAACATTGTTAGTGCAAACATAGTTTCATAAGTCAATATTTGACTTTATAAGCTGTTCTGCTGCTAATATTTTATGTTGGGAATGTTCAAATGACTTAGACTTTTACAGCCAGTCTCCAAGCAAACTACTACTCTTTTACAGTGCTTTAGTTGTTTTTTTTTTACTTCAAAATGTAGCGATAGTTGATTTATTACTTCCATCATCTTATTGCTATTATATAGTATTTAGTATTATAGTATTTAATGAATAGTTTTGATTTGCAACCGTTTTAAATTTTAAGTACCATGTACTGGTTGCATTTGTTATGTATATATATATACCAAGAGATGATTGATTTGTATAGCTGTATTTTACTGGCAATAGTTAAATCGTTTTTCAGTGGACATAGAATGCCATACTTCTTGGCAATTTTCTTGATGACATTGTCAATGTGAGAGTTGAACTTAAGTGCGTCATCATTAATCACGCCAAGATATTTAATCTCCCGAACGCGATCAATAGTCTCATCATGAATTACAACAGAGACGTCCTCATTTACTCGATTCCGAGAAATTACCATAAATTTAGTTTTACTTGTATTCAATTTTAACTGCTTATACTTCAACCATCTATTTAGAGAACGCAAATCTTCATTCAAGTGTAAAACGGCATCATCTAAATCCTTAGCTGCAATGAATAACACAGTATCATCTGCAAAAAGATTAATGTCGCAAAATCGTAAAACACGTCGCAAGTCATTAATATACATAATAAATAACAGGGGCCCTAATACACTTCCCTGGGGCACTCCAAGGTTATTCCCCACGGGACTGGAAACAGAATCATTAAAAACAGTCCGTTGAGTTCTGTCAGACAAATAGCTTTCAAACCATTTATATGCAGTACTCGTAATCCCAAAGCGCTTGATTGATCTTAACAATAAGGGCCTAGAAATTGTTTCAAAAGCGCGTTTAAGATCCAAAAAAACAGCAACAATCGTATCTTTACACTCCAAGTTATTTTTCCACTTCGCTAATACCAAACTCAACGCGGTTTCACAAGAATGACCTTCCCGATATCCCGATTGTTCTGGTATCAACAAACTATTACTATTTAAATACTCCAACAGCTGGCCTTTAACAACAAGTTCTAAAATTTTCTCTAATGTGTGCAACATGTTGATGAGACGAAACTCTTCGGCTTTAATCGTTCCAGCAACTTTTTGAATAGGGACCACTAAGGATTCCTTCCAAATTTGTGGCACATGTCCAGTTTGTAATGATTCATTAATAAGGTCCAGCAAGATGTGGCCAATGACATAAAAGCAATCTTGAATAACTCTAGCATTAACATTATCTACAAATAACTCTAAGTTCATCTAATGTGATTGGGTGGAAAACTTCAAATCTACAACTACTATTAACTGGCTGTTTTATTTCGACAGGTTCATCGACCAATTCAATAGATTGATTAATCAATGAAACGCTATCTACGAAATAATCATTAAACTTAGCTGCAATTACTTGTTCTGACTGTTCTAATGTGCCATTGAAAGTTATGGACCGCGATTTGCAATTACTAGGTTTTAATAAAGATTTCAAAATTTTCCATAACTCTTTGCTGTTGTTTTGATGCTGATCAATCTTCCTTTGAACATATTCACAACGAGTTTTCTTTAGCGATTGTGTACCTAGTCCAATGATTGTCATTATTAGATCTACAAAACTTTTTGTACCATTTGTCCCTTTTCCGTTTAAGACGCAAAAGATCCAAATTGTACCAGCTGTTCGAGTTTTTCAAAGAAACAAACTTTTGCTCAACTAGTTGATTGGTACACGTTTTCAAAGCGTTATTAAGAACAGCTGTAGATTCATCTAAGTTACCGGCCGCGAATGGAAAATCCAGGCTTCTCTCAACAAGATTCGAAACAGCTTGCTTCGAATATTTCCTCCAGCTCTTCAATTTTACAAAATTATCGTTATCGTTAACATGGTCTAAGACATTAATTACTAAGGACTCATGATCGGTTATTTTCAAATCAGTATCCGTAACTGAACAAATGGAATCAAAATTGGAATAAACGTGGTCAATTAAAGTTCTACTGTGCCTGGAAATACGCGTATACTCATTTACCGTTTGCTTTAAATTAAAAAAAAAACTCAGTTAAACGCTTCAAATGATTCGAATTATGGTTATCACGGCAATTAATATTAAAATCACCAGCCAATATATTTAATTTACTAGAATCAAGGAATGTCTCGAGCCAGTTCTTTAAAACTTCAACAAAACGCTGGTCACTAGAACTGGGAGAATGATACAAAACACCATAATTACCCATCTTCATGCCACGTACAACTGTAATGCCCAAGAACCAGTTGCCATCAATTACTTCGTTGGTACGAAGGTTGAATTGAACTGATTCTTTGACATATTGAGCTCCAGGAACTGACCAAACAAGTTCAACATGCGCCTATTAGCGACGTCTGGGAGGTTTTTCTACTAGTTGAACTTGATTCTATCAGCCCTCGGAACCGAATTGCCATTGTACGCTTCGAAATGCACGGGTGTTCCACGTTTCCGGAACACGCGTCTGACTTTTTACGATAAACCTCAGTGCATTGCTGGTCCCACCAAGGGGAAGGAGGTTTTCTACGGAAAGACGTTCCTGGAACTGAACGCCCGGAGCTGAAGCTCGAAGCAAGCTTTCCAAGATCAGATAGGAGAGGAAGTTATCGATCGACGGCAGGGCTTCATCTATCTCGACCTTGAACGTTTTCTAATCGATATTACGGGTGAGGTCGTACGCGACGTTAACGGATTTCGACGGATTGAACCCACTGGTAATCGAAATTTTGATTGGCAAGTGATCACTACCGTGGGGATCCTGGATCACATTCCACGTGCAATCCAACGATAATGAATAAGAGCATAGTGTGAGGTCTAATCTACTGCCATTCGAGGATGGGCTAGCCAAACGTGTTACTTCTCCATTGTTAAGAATTGTAGTATTGAAGTTGTCACAGAGGTCATATATCATAGTAGAACAGTTGTCATCATACAGTTCCCCCCAGCCTGTACGGTTAGAATTAAAATGTCCCATAATCTACCGTGGAGTCGGAAGAACTGAACAGATATATAAAAGTAGTTTTTGATTAATTGAAACTCGCGGAGGAATATACACAGAAGCAATGCAAAGACTCTTGCCTTTAAAAATAGCCTGACAGGCAACAACTTCAATTCCTTAAAAATAGTGGAAGGTTCACTCTATAGAAGGAATGGCACTTTTTGATCCCCAAAAGTACCCTTCCTCCTCGCGAATCAACACGATCCAGTCGAATAATGTTAAAATCATAAAAAGAAAGATCGATATCTGAAGAGAGCCAAGTTTCACAAAATGATCTATTTTAAGAATGCGATTTCGACAATTCCACTGTAGAACAGTGATCAAATCCCGACCTCCCGAAGGAAATGATTGCTACAAGGAGGGGCCATTTCAATGTCAATTGCTTCAAGAGGGTCTTCACAGAAGGAAGCATTGCCAGAACAAAGCTTTTGAGAGGATCAGAAATATTGAGGTACTTGAGGATATCGTCCACAATTTTATCTTTTTATCATATGTAGACCGTTTTGTTACCAAATTTTGTTATCAAATGAGAACAACCCAGATGAAGAAGGGGCTTCTGTTATTAAAAATGGGATATCAGGGGTTTATGATGTCCCCGGGAGAGGTGGAAAATCCTGGGTATAGTCAGTTCTGTGGAATTCAGGAGCAGTAGAAGTATTGATTTGGGCAAGCTGATTTGGAGTTCCTAATCTGCAACTTTTCGCGAACGGATGCGTTTTCGTTTCCGTGCAGAACCTTCCTGAAAGCTGAAAGAAACTCCCCAATAAACAATTTACAGTCACAAATAAGCATACACATTGAATAAATGCTGTATAACAGTGTACAATGCTGAATAAAACAGGATGTCGAATTATGTGCTGAAAAAAGCTTATTGAGATCGATAGATGCGCCTTTATTCCACCGTTTGCTCTGATATGATTAATTTACTTATTAAAAGCTTTATAAACGTTGACTGTCTTCCTGATTCAGAACCAGAAGTTTAATCTAATAACAAACTGAATAAGTGTAATTTGCTCATACATTGTCGCTTTAAGTAGAATGTTTTCAATTGTGGAGGCGAACCAGCCTAAGGCTGAAAGCCTCCTAAATAAAGCTAAATAATAATAATGTTTTCAATTGTTATAATAAAATGCTTTATTAGACGTCTTATAAATGTTTTCTAGCTCCATTATTAGATTTCATTGCATTGCTTTACAATATTGCTGGATAAAGGTGAATACAGTCAGCAATATAGCTCTTATACCACTATGAGTTCATGTTTCAATTGAATGCTTTGTAAATGCTTTATAAACGACATATTAGATTCATTCCACAACACTGCCCAACAAACAATTAATAGTCACAAATAAGCATATAGATTGAATAAATGCTTTATAACAGTTTACAATGGTGAATAAAACGGGTTGTCAAATTATGTGCTCAGAATATCTCATTGAGATCGATGATGCGCCTTTATTCCGCTGATTGCTCTGATTTGATTAATATACTTATTAAAATCTATACAAATGATGACTGTCTTCCTGATTCAAGACCAGAAGTTTGATCTAATAACATGCTGAATAAGTGTAATTTGCACATACAGTGACGCTTTAATTTGATTGTTTTAAATTGATTAACAATATTGCTGAATGAAGGTGAATACAGTCAGCAGAATAGCTCTTATACCACTATGCGTCCATGTTTTAATTTCATGCTTTGTAAATGCTTTACAAACGGCGTATTCATTCATTATTCCACAACACTGCTTCAGGATAACAACAAAATGAAA